TGCATATGCCACACACCCTGACATCACCGGAAGTGTGTCAGATGGCAACACCCACTGCAACTTACCTGGCTGCTTCTTGCTCCTCATGGTCCAGGGCTGCTGGGAGCAGGGGGTGGGGCTTATTGCATGTGCCCGCCCCCTGGGAGCTCCGCTCCTGTGCTGTGCTGTGCTGTGACACAGAATTGAGTGCTACTGCCGGAGCTCCGCTTCTGTGCGCTTTTGCAGGAAATGACCCCTGTTCCTAGGTAATGTGTCAGTTCTGTCTCCTTTCCCTCAGCTATTTGCTCCATTTCATCCCACATCATTAAGTGGAATGACCAGAGTTCTAGTTCTGCAGAACTAAACCCTAGCAACCAACAGGACCTACTGACATGTAGACTTTGAGGAGATTATGTGCAAAAAGAATTTTTAATGGAATTATATTTTTTCTGAAATTCCCAGTGCCATAGCACTTTACCCACGAGTTCTTGCTTCTGTGTCAGACAGAAGAGGAATCATTGCCACCTATCTAGGCATCAAGGATGGGTTGAGCTTGGAGAGAGCTCAAAATGAACCTAACTTCTCTTTCCTTAGCTCCTGGGACATAAATTCGCTGATCCTGGGAAGAAGGTCGTTTGGGAAGAAGGGGCTAGAGAGTGCACAGTCTAAGCAGCTGTCCCTCTGTGGTTTTGCCATGTCCCTTTTGGGAAATGCATCTCTGTGAGGACAATGTGTTTCCTGTACTTGATTATTGCTTGATGAAGGAGGGATAGGCTTTAAAAGTAGTTATGAATGGATGAGCTACAGGGGAAGCCATGCCCCACAATGAGGGGCTAAGATAGTAGACTTCTATTTTAAAATGTTGTGAACTGATTTAAGGATCTTATTAGATTTATATCCTGCTTATGCTTGTTTAGCACAAGTTCTGTGTCACCCCATAGTGAAAGAGGCTCAGGTGGTGGTGCTAGTTGTGGTGGTGGCGGCTATTGCTGAGTTGCAGAATCTGGTGTCAAAAGTAGGCTGTCCCAGCAACTGCCTGATAATGGCTGACTGTAGCAGGGGGCACCATTTATCATATGGAGTATACATGATGAATAAGTCCAGGGATGGCTGTGGACAGGATAAGATGAGGCTGATTGGAATCATAGAAGCAAAGTCCACTCTATTACGTTGCTATTTACAGTCATTTCAATACACATGCCCCCCCCCCCCTTTGGGGTACATATCACTAACATTATGGTGCTTCCATTCCTTTAAAATGAAGTAACATGCATAGTTGCTTCTTCTTGGCACTGAATTAGCTACAGAAGCCAGGTAAATGCTGGCATTTTAAAAGGTAATTTACAAACAGTATAACAGAATTGAGTGCTACTTAAAGGCATTAATAATAATAATTTTGACACTTGTATTCTAAGAAAAGGAATAACACTGAAATCTAGACAACCTTTCATGTGTTGGTGGAAAAACTCAAATTTCAAGCTAAAATTGATCAGTTACCGTAACTTGGATTTGAGCACTTCCTACTAAATCATTCCTGTCATCTCTGGTTTTCACACTGATTTGTGCAGAAAGCAGTCCTTTTGTCCTTCATTTCCCTGATCTTTCCCTTTGTGTAGTTAAGCAGAAGATTCATTTTTGTATGTTGAAGCCTATTTTGAAATAAATAGTTAGTTTTCAGTTTGTCCAGTTTGTTGCCATTCAATTAATTTTATTTTTTGGTAATATCAATGGTACCTAGCATTCTAGGCAAACAGATGGATTTTTAATATTAGCATGCTCTTTTAAACTGTGTATGTTTAAATCAAAGAGGGTGATAGCTCCTGAAATATTTTTTCATCCCGCACTCCCTGAAAATTGAAAGTAGAATTACCATTATTCCAAAGAGCATTACACTCAGTGGATCAAAATCTGCTGGCAGTCCCCAGTCTGAAAAACATCTGCTTAGCCTCAGCCAGAGTCTTTTCAGCTCTGGCACTGGCCTGGTGGAACACTCTCCCAAGTGAGATCTGGGCCCTGTGGGACCTAATGCAGTTCCTCAGGGCCTGTAAAATGGAGCTGTTCCGTCAGGCCCATGGCTGAGGCGGCGGAAAACCCATCGTTATCAGCTTCCCCCTGTTTTGTGCATATGTCCACCAGCTATTCTATCATTCCAACACCCATGGACACATGTGATGCATAATCTCCATTGAGATGTTTTGTTAGCCATTTGACTGTTGAGTTTTGATTGTGTTATTACTTAGAGTTTTATTGTTTAATAATTAATTTATATTTATTGTTTTAATGTTGTTCCACTCCTGATGTAACCCACGCTGAGCCCAGCTATGCTGGGAACGGTAGGCAAGAAGAAGAAGAAGAAGAAGAAGAAGAAGAAGAAGAAGAAGAAGAAGAAGAAGAAGAAGAAGAAGAAGAAGAAGAAGAAGAAGAAGAAGAAGAAGAAGAAGAAGAGCAAAGTATGTAGTATAACAGTAGTAAAAATTTTAAAGTATTTTAGGCAAGATGTCTTTTTGCAATATATAAAGTTGCAATATAAAGTTTATTCTTGTTCAGACTGAAATGATGCTGTCAGTCTAGTTACCTTTATTGGCATGTAACCCTTGCAAACCCATATACAAAATAACAACAACAACAACCACAGCATAGAATAATACTTGCAAAATACAGAAACAAGGAATTACCAAGTAAGTATACCCATCAATTAAATAAAGGGCAAATAGAAATGGCACCAAAAAGAAATTTAGCAACAGTTTCTGTTATCTCAAGGTTTGGATTATCAAGAAGAATAAGTATCTTTAAGCAATCAGGATATTCTTCTAACTGAGCCAAAATAAAATTTAGAAATTTCAGTCGTAGTGTATGGTAGAAGGGGCAGTGCAACATCTGTCAGAAAAGGGCACGCCCTGAAAGCGGCCAGATAATAAGGCCGAAGGTAATACATTGAATCTCGCCAAAGAGAGGGCTCTACAGAGTTTGGGGGTGTGAAGTTGGTACAGGTAAGAGGCAGGTTGGCCGACTTTAGGAGATATTCCAAAATACAGGGGTGAACAGGTTTTATTAGCAGCATTATACAGTGAATGTAGCTCAGAACAAAGTAGATTGGCTGTTATAATTGAAAAAGCCTCAGATTCGGAAGTAAGGAGTAAGGAATCTAAGGTGATATCCAGGGATTTAATTTTGGATTCTATATAGGTAATCCAGTTAGAGTCATTAGATTCCAGTAGAAGCTGATAGGTGTAACTAGAAGGGTCCGAATTGAAAAGAAGGGATTTCCAGTTGTATTGATCCAAATAGGCACCCCATATAATAACTGGGCCCCTATTTTAGCATTAAAGGCTTTTAAAGCAGCAGGTATATACTGGTTACCTCTTCCTGAAAAATAAAATTTGGAAATTGCTGCCGCATTTACTTTGGCCGTATTAATTGCTGTTTTTCGGTGACATACCCGAGGCGTTGTATTGAAAATGAACACCAAGATATTTAAAGACCTTGACCTGTTCTGAAGAATGACCATTGATTTTCCAGTCATGAAATTTCCAGGAGTTGGAAAAGATCACTACTTTGGACTTCTCATAATTTAAGTCCAGGTAGTTGGCAGCACAATATTCATAGCAGCAATCAAGTAAACGCTTTAACCCCAAACGAGTCAATGACAAAAGGACTGCGTCATCAGCGTATAGCAGTGAAGATATATGCGTAGAGCCAAGTCTAGGGCTGTGTCCATCAACTGAAAATGGAAAAGGGGCAAAGTCATTTTTTAAAAGATTTGAAAAGGGAAGGGGTCAAAATACATCCCTGCTTAACCCCTTTATTTATATTAATCAACTGAAATGATCCTGTGGATAAATCTTTTGATCATCAGCAATTGAAACCTTCCTAACTTGACTATGTCACTTCTGTGAATCCTTATGACGGTTCTGTTTTATTGTGCCTGGTAAAGTCATAGAGTACCGTACCTCATTCCACTACTGGTTATCTTGGGGGGGGGGGGAATACACTGCTGTGAATAGATGTTTTATTTTAAATTTGTTTTAGCCAGAAAATACACAGTCTCCTTTTGTGTTTACTTTCTGCCCCTTTCTGTTAATATAAAGTTTTTCTTGCTGTTTGTTCAAATTGCTCCAACATTAGTTCCCACTGGGAACTTCAGCATACCATAGCCTGTCTAAAAGAGGGAAGAGAGTCCCTTGGTGAATATAAAATAGCATGTTCATTTCTCAAAAACGATAGTATTCTTGCTATAATGTTTTGTGCCTTTTTAATAAAACACAGTGACTGTCCATCTTTAACAGTAGCTGGGTGATATCAAACCATTGGTATGTTAAAATATTCACTATTGCTCTGAGCAAAACATCACCTGCTAAGCAAAGTATTAACTTGGTGAAATAGTCTGTGTTCAAATTGTTTTGTTTAGTGTCAACCCTGAATTGAATTTTTTAATCTCGTTAAAGGTTTTGGCAGTTTGGCTCTTACCTAATGATTCCTTGCTTCCCTTGATCCATGAATACAGCTGGAATTTAAATTATAATAGTGTATTTTTACAAGCTACTTCTCCAAAGATAAAATGGGGCTCGGGTTGCTGGGGGGAAAATCAAGTCTTCATCCTGTATATCTTTCCTTCCTCTGACTTCTTTTTTCTTTTACCTCCCCCTCCCTGCTCTTAGTCTTCATTTATACCAACACCTCCCCTCAGACCACTGCTCCTGAAACCTTAGGGAGTTTTACCTGCCAGATGTGAAAATGCTAACTACTCTATATAATGTTGTTAATCTATTGTCTTGGACATACAGAATCCATTTTAACATGTTAAACATTTAGTGTCTCAACAGGAAAAAATAAGCCTTCGGGAAGCTTCTTTTAGCATTTTAAATAAGTGGGTTTTCTTTTCTTTTCAGAATTCGTACCCCAAGCATTTGGAATGCCATTATCACAAGTAATAGCTAATGATAACAGGAAAAAATAAGCCTTTGGGAAGCTTGTTTTAGCATTTTAAATAAGTGGGTTTTCTTTTCTTTTCAGAATTCGTACCCCAAGCATTTGGAATGCCATTATCACAAGTAATAGCTAATGATCGGGCCTACAAACTGAAGCAGGATACTCAGAAAGAAGAGCAGAGAGAAGTTTCGGAGTTTGTAGCCTCCCTTTTGCCGTTTGGAAGTAAGAGGCAGAACAAAGAACTCTCAAGCAGTAACTCATCTCTTAGCTCCACTTCAGAAACGCCAAATGAATCTACTTCACCTAACACACCAGAGCCAGCCCCACGAGCAAGGAGGAGAGTAAGTGTCTTACTGAGAACTATGTAAATCCTGCTGGCACTGTGGGACTTTCCCAGGCATTGCTGCTCACAGAAGTTACAATCCCAGATCTGCTCTGCTGCTGTTCAGTTAAAGTCAGCCACGACTGAAATGATAGACGCTGTAATTTTAACAGTCATTTCTCTTTCCCAGTTTTTCATGTGAGAAAATGAGATGGACACAAGTCTCTTGCCAGCACCTCAGGGGATCCAGGGATTCTTTGGAAACTTTCCTTTCCCCAAATCAGATTTTGGTTGGTCTTTCAAATTATTAAGGAGCAACGTTCTACTTTAGTTTCCTCATTTGTTTTAGTAGATGAATTACATTAATGAGAATAATGGTCCAACATATTATAAAAAAACCTTGTGTGTGTATGTTTATAATAAAATCTCAGGGAGTTTTCTTGCATTAGAGAATTTAAAAAAAAAAAGATTCTTTCTTCATGAAAGTCACTACTATAGGAGTGACAAATAAGAAACTGGCCACTGGAAAGCTGATGCATATAATTTCCCATTGTCAGTCTTTGGTCCCTCACAGAGAGCATTGATCCTCATGGAATACACAGGATATCTGGGAGAAGGACTTTTTTCTCCTAGTCATAATTCTTAAACCTCTGAAGTGGGGGGGGGGATGGATATGTATAGTTCCTTTCCCTGAAATTTTTTTTGGGCATTTATTTCTCATCTATTTGAAATTCGTGCAAGCATCAGTAATTTTGAGTACTCTGTTTTGACAATAGTGTTGAAAGTAGTCATTATAAAGGGCATGACGTGTTTCAGTCTAGTATTTACTAGTTTGTACTTCACACATTGCATAAAGAGTCCTGTCTTCCCTACTGTAACTTCCCATTATGTAACTCGGTGCAAAATAAACCCTCTCCTTGACCTGCTTACTCAGAAGTCACTGATTCAGTTGGAGATATTCACAATGAATGTACATAAGATTTTAGCCTTAGAATTGCCATACACATGAAAATATTCTGTTTCGACCTCATATATATGAAATGATTACATAGAAGTCACAGACTGTGTACTATAGAAATGAAATAAATGCTGCATACATTGTGTCTTGCTTAATCATTCTGCTTGCTACTCTGTAACTTTCTTCTATAGTGTTTTGTACACAATCAGTGGAAAATCTTATCAAAGTGTCACTTCCTTTCTGCTTATTTTTTCTCATCTTTCTGACATTTTGTTTACATTACAAGTACGTCTCAGAACATGAGATTTTTTGTTATTTCTATAGTATACTCCTGTACTCTTTAAAATAAAAAATAGTATACCATAGACAATGCTGTGTGGTCACGATCTTACTAATAGTTGCCAGTTCTTAGGTCCAACCATATTCATACAAACCATATTGTGTTTTGATAATATCGCTGGAGTTGTGAATTGGCTACTGTTAGTAACTTTGTGACTACGTAGTGTTGTCTATGGTATCTGGTTTATAATAATATGTATAAGGATATACCATAGAAATGTAAGCAATTTTTTATTTTGTAAAGTATACCAGTGTATACTGTGGAGGTTTGAGCAAGCATTTTTGCAGTGTGTGTTCATGTTTGTTCATGCATTTCATTGAATACTAATGGGGCTCTATTTCAGAAGTAGCATTGGTCATTTTGTTTCCACATGTGGCAGGCTTGATTGTGGATTATTCTTAATGTTTATGTATCATCACAAGTGTATTTAATGTATCAGCTGACTGTTGTATTGTTAGGTAAATGGTGCTAGCCAAACTATTTTTTACTTCGTGAAATTGGTATTCTGTCTTCTGGCAAAGTATTTTAAGAAGCGTCATTAAGGCAGAAGACTATCTGCATGACTTCTCTAGGTCCCAACAAATAGTTCTTATGGAATTTAAGAATTTTAATATCTACTAGAATGCCTTTGGATAGGGCCACAGTGGCTCAGAGGTTAAGATGCTGAGCTGCGGACTGGAACATCTGTGTATCAGCATTTTGAGACCTGAATGTCACATGATGGAGTCAGCTCCCATCTCTTGCCCCAGCTCCTGCCAACCTAGCAGTTCGAAAGCAAGAAATTGCAAGTAGATAAATAAGTACCACTTTAGTGGGAAGGTAACAGTGTTCCCTGCACCTTGGTGTTTAGTCATGCCGGCCACATGACCACAGAGAAGTCTTCCGGCAGCCAGCACTGGCTCTTCGACTTGGAAACGGAGATGAGCACCGCCCCCTAGAGTTGGATTCGACTGGCTTTCGAGCAAGGGAAGCCTTTACCATTACCTTTTAGAATGCGTTTAGTGCCTTAGATTGTAGAAATCATGCAGTCTTTTGGGCAATATTAGAGACCAAATGTAACCATCTCTATTATTTTTAATAGGAAACTTGATAGCTGCTTTATACTTTTCATTTTGTATGTGAAAACCAGTTTCTGAGTCCAAATAAACCTGTCTTGCTTCTTTTATCAGTGATGTTCATACCTAAATGGCTTTTCTCTATGACAGATTGAAAGTTAAGGAGCTTTCCCCATCTCCTTGGGATAACCAGCTATGATCCCTATATATTATCCACCACCTAAGATACACCCATTCCTTTAGGACTAGTTATCCCCAGTAAAAGTTAATATTTTTGTTCAGGTTTCCATTGGAACACCTTGTGCTTCCACTTCTGTAACTAGTTGTTATATTTTACTAATGTAAAGGATCTATCTTTGACATAAATTTCTTAAAAGTTTCTATTACTTGGTTAATATTCCCATTCCTCAGTGCTAAGATTCTGTCTGTTTTACATTTTGAAGAAAATCTTGGAATTATGGACATATTTTTCTAAGAGCTCAGAATCCAAATGGGGCTGAGGGCAGCCAGTTTAATATCTGCATACATACCGATTGCTTACACTTGTGTGTGTTGCAGGGTGCAATGTCTGTCGACTCTATTACGGATCTTGATGACAGTCAGTCTCGACTGCTGGAAGCTCTACAGCTGTCATTACCTGCTGAAACTCAGAGCAAGAAAGAAAAGGCCAGGGACAAAAAACTAAGTCTCAACCCTATTTACAGGCAGGTTCCTCGGCTTGTAGACAGCTGTTGCCAGCATTTAGAAAAGCACGGTAAGTGTGTTTCAATTAGCCAATAGACCAATAGACTCAAACCAAAAAAAATTGCACATCCCTACGTCAGACCTTTAAAAATTGTAAATATATTTTATGACTATAAACATATGAATAATCATATGGTAGCTGACGAGATATCTTAACCTATTGTATACCTCAGTTATATACAGGTGGATTTTTGACACTCAGTTACATCACTCAGTTGACACTCAGTTGACACTCAGTTACATCAAGTTGCTAGTCCTCCGAACTCTGGGAAACTGTAATGTATTCTGGGTCGTGTGTGCCTCTGTAGCATGAGGCAGATTTAAGGCAAATTAGACAAAGGAAGGGGGATATATGATCAGTGTCTTTGTTTGTTGTAAATAAAATGCAGTTGGGAGGGCATGAATCTGACTAAAGCAGTGATCAGAGGAAAGGTTTCTTAAACTAGCTGCTCCCCTTCCCTGAGTGTTCTCCCCACCCCTACTGCCTTTTCAGGTGTGGGAGAAAAAAATACAGGGCCCTGTATATTCAGCCTGTGAATGGTAAAATGAGTTGTGGGTTTGGTGTGGGAAAAGGGCTCTGATCAGATTCACAGTCCCCATGGTTTAAAGAAGAAGTGAAGGATACTGAGACCCTGCTCATATAAGCATTTTTTGTGATTGTGAGGTATGCAAGTCTCAGGCACACAGATACATTCATTTTTCTTTCACCCTGTCATCCGTGAAGGCGACATTAAGTTAAATAGGCACAACACTGAGTTAATCTCTTCCAGGATCCTCCCTTTTTTGATCTGTGAACCATCTGAACCATTTTGATGCTGTCATCTGGAAGACGAGGCTCCTGTCTTTGTATATGAGAACAATACTGTAGGATGGTCTTAGAGTTCCCTCTAGTGTCACCCTTGAATAGCTGCTGTAGAGTAGCTGAAAAACACCTCAGATGAAGAAGACCAATAAGCTTCACTCAGAATATTATTAACCAGATCCACATTTTTATGAATTGTAAACATGTTTCTTGGGGATGGGCAGGGGAGATTAATTTGTGTTAATTAATCTGGATATATGCTATCACAGTTATGCCAAATATTTTGCTGTAGACCATAAATATGTGAAACTTTTATGCTGAAATAACTTGCAGCAGTCCTCCAGTGTTTCACCAAAGCTTTAAATAATGAAATAAAAAAAGATTTGTTGTGTTTCTAGGTCTACAGACAGTGGGAATATTCAGAGTTGGAAGCTCAAAAAAAAGAGTAAGGCAGGTGAGCCAGTACCTTGCAACATTTATGTTCTTTTCACTCTTGATAAAACTCAAGCTTGTTGCCAGTCCTTCTCAATCAAGTAAGGGCATCTTTCTTTGCTTAATAGATTCAGGTGGGTAATCGTGTTGATCTGAAGCAATAGAACATGCATGGACACGAAAGCTTATACCCAGAATTAAACTTCATTGGTCTTAAAGGTGCCACTGGACTTAAACTTCTTTGCTTAAGTAATATTTCAGAACTTAGTCCTCTGCAAAAAAAAACCCCACCAACCTGAGAGAATACTAATACCCCCAAAAATCTTTGAAGACATTAAAAAAAAGAAAGAAACAAAGCTTAGCTTACTTTGTGCTAACTTCCAAGCAAGCCGTTGTAACTTTTGGAATAAACATTGGCATTGCTTTATTCATTTAAGAAATAGTAATTACAGACTCCACATGCATCAATAATAAAAGGCACCTGCTGGTCAATGTCATTAATATACTGTGTTAGTCACAGCTACCAAATGCTGCTTCTCTTCCTCCCTCCCACCTCCATCACACTCACGTTTACTTCCATGTTCCTTGACTAATGTAGTGCTTGATATTATTTCATTATGTATTCTGGATACTTTCTCTTATGTAGAGTTTCTGATTAAGTTTTTTGTGGAGTGTTTTCGCAAAGAAAGAAAACCCACAGGTTTATATTAATATGTCTTAAGTAAAATGCGAGATTCATAAAAGATCCATTTTAATTCGTTCTTTACTGATGAAATTATTTAAGACGTCTCAGGTATTATTTTACTAGTTTTGTAGCCATTGCAACTATCTGGAGGCCAAACTAGACGTGACAGGTGTATTCATATATATTTATTACAGCACTATGATCTAATAGTTAGAGTACTGGACTAGGACCAGAGTGATCCAGGTTCAGACTCCCACTTGTCAAGCACTATGTTGGGTAGCCTTGGGTCAGTCATGTCTCTGTAGCCTAACCTACACTGCAGGTTGACATGAGAAGAAACTTGAGGAAGGGAGAACCATAGGGACTTCCCTGGGCTTCTTGGAAGCAGGGCAGGATAAAAAAATGTACTCAAAAAGTATTTACCTCTTAATTCACATATCAAACAGGGTGTGTGCGTGTGTGTTAGTGTGTTAACTGGGACGTGCTATAGAAGAGTTAAATCCCATCCGTCATTTCACTGTGTTCCACTGGTTGAAGCATTTTCTTTCTAGCTTAGCTCAGTTCTGGTATCAGAGCTAGGCTATAAAAATGCTTCAAACAATGAAGTGTAGTGAAGTAGCATGGGGAGAAAGGTGGGTTTAGTTTCTCTTACCTACACACTTGGTTTTCTGTTAACATGCTGTGATTGACAGAATAGGTTCCACCTCTCCCTAAGAGCAACCAATGACAGCTGACAGAATGTTGGGGAGATTCCAAGGGAAAACAGCAGTTGAGAGAGAAGTTGGAAGTTGGCAGCTAGAGGGTTAAGATTTGAATGAAACTGTGCAGAAGAGCTGCTTCAAGCTGACTGAAAAGAGTCAGATTGTAACAAAGGATCCCAACTGCAGGAACAGGAGAATGATTGAAAAGTTCAATTGGAAATAAAATGTTGTAACATCTACTTTACTTGCTTCAGTGTTATGTTCAGTGTTATGTAAATAAACATTAAGTCCTTGTTTGTTTAAATGTGTGGGCTGTGTGTCTCAGGGAAAGAATCACACAAACAACAGTGAAGAATATATATATATATATTGAGTTATTGAAGTTGGAGGCTCATGCACTGTTCCATTCATAGGCTACCACCATGTATTCATATCCTCAAACATATATTGGAGTGAGGGCCTGTTCTTAAAGGGGGCTGGGCTATCCTGTCTGCTGATGTCTCAGTAAAGGGGAGAGAGGATCTCAGGTGTAAAATGGTCAGAGGGAAGGTATTAGAAGGTGCAATCAGATTCTCTCATGTGTAAAATGAGAGGCACAGCAAGGTCTAGAAGCAAATAGAAGTCAGGTTGTAGGGAACCGGAATAGTTACTCAAAATCAAGAGTCAAATTTCAGATTTTAAGAGTTCAGAGCTGCACTGAACCCAAGAGAGCCTGCAAAGACAAAGAACAAGCATAAATCACTTGATCTGGAAAAGCAGGAGTTATTATGGGAGATTACATGGTTTATTCATCATCATTTCTAGGCCAGTGCTTCAAGTGGCACTCAGAATAGCACAAGAAGAAAGAAACTGCAATAATAAAAAGTCTACTTAGAAATACAAGACCTATTAATCAACAAGACCTATTAATCAATAAAACATGAATCACTGTGGAAGGTAATTGAGAGAACAGATGTTAAGTCTTTATCAGAGATAGAGGTATAGTGGAGCAGCAAGAAAGATGCCAAACCCCATAGCTCCAGGTTGAAAACAGACATCTTCCAACATACTAACAGGAAAAAATCGCTACAATCACTTCTAATTATTATTATTATTACTACTACTACTACCTTGGACCGACATTGCAGCAATTTTTTGCTTTGCATTTATATTGTAATTCAGTAGCATTAAAAAAACAAAAGCTTGCCAAAATTTACAAACATCTTTGTATAATGCAAATTTTTAATGAGAATTCAATCTTTGGCATCCCACCAGATATACCAAACCAAATATTATTAATACAGGCATTCACAGTGAACACAATCAGAGTTCTATCTTAGTTTTTTGATGGTGTGACTACAACTGGATGAGGATGAAGTTTAATAAGACTCAAAGACAGATACCTTCACATCTTATTAAACTTCATCCTCATCCAGCTGTAGTCACACCATCAAAAAACAGTACTGATTCACTGTTAACTGCCTTCATTAAGACTATCACTTGTTGTGTTGCAGTGGACAGAGTGATATGGCATAGGGCTTTTTAAAAGTTCTCCTTTACACTGTCTTTCAAAAGCTGCTCTTAATTAGCTAAAAGGCTTGGCATAGTATGCAGCTATTAACTAAAAGTGACCTTTGTTTTGTTGATTTTTTTCTAGTTACGTGCAGAGTTTGACCGTGGCGTTGATGTCGTGCTGGATGAAGAACACAGCATCCATGATGTGGCTGCTTTATTAAAGGAATTTCTTCGTGACATGCCTGATCCACTTCTGACCAGAGAGCTTTATACTCCTTTCATCAATACTCTCTGTGAGCAATGGCAGCCTTCTTTGTTTTTACTGATTCACCAATAAAATGTACACTCCTCAGTGAGAACCCTAAGCCAGTTACATAATTCTCCTCTCCTTCCCAACAACCCTATGAGATTAGGCTGAGTGACTAGCCCAAGGTCACCCAGCAAGCTTACATGGCAGAAAGGGTGGAATCTGTCTGGTATCCTATTCTAACACTCTAACAACTATACTGCACTGGCTCTCTAATACCTACATGCAATGTAAAAAATCTAGGAACGACTTACAAGATTTGTCCCAAACGTCTTCTAAATAACGTGTGTGGCAAAAACAGTCTTTATTAAGAACTTTGTGTTTTGTTTTGTTTTTGCCCCCCAAAGGGGATTTTTTTAAATTGCATTTTCTATAAACTACAAAGAAACAAGGAAGGGTAACTACAAACTATAGGTGAAAGTAAAGAAAACCACTAAAAACCAAAGAGGTGGAGGACATATTATGCTTTAAAAATTTGCTTTTTAAACAATTAAAATTTGTTAACGTTAAAGGTGATCAATAGATGTATCGCTTAATTTATGAATTCCAGCATGTCTGACTACACCAAGGGTCATACAAGAGCTTAAATCAATATCAATATGGCAAACATCAGGAAAGATTAGCATCTCATTATTTTTTAAAAAAATTGTTCCCCAATTAACAACCACCACCCCCCATCTTGAAACTGGATTTTCCCCAGTAGATGAACTAACAGTCTCGTCTTCTCTTCCTTTATTGTGATCTTCTTCTTCTTTACTTCCTTCCCCTGTTACTCTATATTGTTGCAACAGAATCAAACCCGCCCATAAGACAGAGTCCAACCTTTCACATTTTCTTTTGTAAAGGCAATTCCTTGCTTGGTATTTATTCTTTTGACAGTTTCTGGAGAGTCTTAAGAACTTTGTGTTTTTGAAATGGAGATGGATGCTTAAATTTTAATATGACTCCTGCCTGAGAGTAGTGTTACATATATAGGCTTGTGTGGACATCTTTCTTTTCTGTTGCAGTATTAGAGCCCCATGAACAACTGAACACTCTGCAACTTCTTATTTATCTTCTACCTCCTTGCAACTGTGACACTTTGCATAGACTCCTCCAGTTCCTTGCCACTGTGGCTAGCCATGCAGAGGACAGAATAGATCAAGACAGCCAGGAGGTAAATTCACATTTCTGATCTTCAGAATAGCCTGATGTGTTTTTCTGTAGACTGACTGTTTCTGTACATTTGCTTATTTTGCAGTATGACTTCTGCTTTTTCTGTGGTATAAAATGATGAAGCAAAAAAACCTTGCAATCTAAAGTAAGATAGGTATTTGTTGCACAGTATAAAGATATTCCTAGAAAATGAAAACTTTTACACGTTATCATTAAAAATATTTTCCAACTACAGATAACGGAAAGAGTTTATGGGTTAGATCACATGCAAAATTTCAATTGACTGTAAGAATTTCCATCAGAGGACTCTTTTATAGAATACTTATGGTTAAAGATAAGTAAAACATCACTGAATTTTCTAAATGTCAGCCATTGGTTTTCTCGTGGTTTACCTCAGTTCATTCCCCTTTAATCCTTCCTCTCATGTAAAATAATTTTGAAAAGCATTTTGAAATATTTTTGTGCAAATGATGTTATTTTAATTAATATTCTGATCAGGTTAAGTTTTTCCTACTTCACTGAGTAACTGTATAGTGCTAGTGTTGATGGTTAATATTGAATTCCAGGATCTAAGGCAACAGGCTTGGCTCTATGATTATGAGTCCAGTCCAATTTTTAGAGTTGCTATAGGTTCTATGGTTTCTGGTTCACACTTTAGTAGCTAACGTTGGGCTTTAGCGAGGGTTTTAGTGGGTTATAATCTCAGAGTTCACTACCATTTACAAATACTTAAGTCTTTCTTAAGGCTGTCCCCTAAATCATGTTAGGAGACTTGTGAAGGAACAGTCGTTTCATGCATTACTTTTTTCCCTTTGTGAGTGGCTGCATTCTGTAGCACAGCTTGTCATAATGTCACACTCTACACTATCTTTATGACTTACCTTCCAGGATGGAATCCAAAACCTTGGTTTGAAGAAAGTTTTGGAATGTGGTCTGTGATCTGTGAATTGCTATTTCAGGCATTATGGTTAGTACTAAACAGGATGCAAAGAGGAGGCCAGGTGCCAAAAGAGAAGAATTAGTGTGCAATCTATGACTGGTTCATAATCCATTCTAAAGTTGCAGTTTCTATCAATTCCCCTTGCAACTGTGTACCCCTTGATGTGTACCCCTTCATGGTCCGCTATCTGCCAGGAGCAGAACTTCATGGAGTCAGTGGCCTGAAGAGAGAAGGGAGAAGGAAAGACAGTCCACTTCTGCCACTGGAAGATTTAGCGTGGATCCAGTCCTATGACTTGAGGGGGTATCTTTATTGAGTCATCATGTTCATTACTAAAAAAAAGCAAGGGGAGGAATTTTTTCTTGTTTACACGACTGTCCAGACCTGACACAGCTCCATCTGGAACATTACATATTAGACTTGTAAACAAGCTTAAGAGTTTTCCATTTCAGCAACACAAATTCCCAGTTAGTCCTTTTACTGGAGCAGAAACTTGCAACGTGATGCAGCAATTGGTGATCTTATGCAGCATTGTCTGGGGACTGAGAAACAGCCATGGCAAGGCTATTTACAGTATTTTTGAATAACCACTGTAACACATTGATCACCTATTGGGTTAATCATTCTCAGGCATTCTCACTTAGCCTGATTGTAAGCTCAGAGACAGGCTAAAGATGTCTTGCCCTGTTGGGAATGAATCTTGAATTCTCTTAAATTTTCCTTTTTTTACAGCAGGTGGTTCAAACAGTTCAGGGAGTGCTGGGCCTTAATCAGAGCCTTAATCAAAGAAATTCACAACTTTCTAAATAGTCCTTTTTAGAACAAAGGTCCAATTCTGTTGTTTTTGTTTCTAGATTCCTGGCAATAAGATGACATCGCTTAACCTAGCCACTATATTTGGGCCTAATCTGTTGCACAAGCAGAAAACTACGGACAAAGAATTCATGGTTCAAAGCAGTGCTCGTGCTGAGGAGAGCACGGCGATTATTGCTGTGGTACAAAAGATGATAGAAAACTATGAAGTGCTTTTCATGGTAGGTAGAAACATGCTCTATTATATTGATTTTAACATTTGCCTCACATCATGTATAGCCGATGATTTAAGACAAAAAAAGGTTAACTTCTTCAAAATTTAAAATGCACAGTCAACCGTTCACAACATTACAAAGTACTTGGCAACATCTGCAAAGGCACAGTGTAAAGAAACAAAAGTGCTGGAGAATAGCATGATCTTGGAATACCTGCACGGAAGTTCTCCCTCAGTGGGGGGAAGTCATCCAGGAACTGGTTAGGTCACGCCTCTGCTCGCTCAGATAGGCCATGCAAATTTCTTTTGTTGCGTGGCTCCTATTGGAGTGGCCTAGGCTGACCTCTCCAGTTTCTGCATAGCCCTGCGCTCGGTAGGACTTCTGGAGCTCCTGCTCCAAGCCAGAGGAATTAAAGAAAATTATATTTAAAAAGAAAAAATCTCAACAGACAGCAGAAGAACTTCCCTTCCCTCCCTGCAGGCTCCAAAACAACAAGGGGTTACTGCTGAGGACCCAGGATGGGAAGAAGACGAAGAACGGCCCCCTCCACCTTCCGAGGCATCGGAAGGAGGACAAGAGGCCGCGACAGAGGCCCCCGTACCGGGAGTCAGGCTGCAGGACAGGCAGCGGCTGGAGGAAGCGCTGCTGCAACAGCCAGAGGATGGCAGCTTCACCAACGCAGGGCCGGCTGAACGCAAAGAGCCAGCCGTCCCCCACACAACCCCCCCGCACGTGTTCCAAGATGGCGGCGCCCAAACAAAGAGCGGCGGCGGGACCCAACGGTTGAAGCCTTCGGGCTCCTGCTCCCAGCCGCGCACCAAGAAGATGGCGCACTTGGCTGGCGTGGTGGCCAGTGGCGTGGAAGAGAGAAATGGCACGGGAAAAGCACAGGGCCGGCAAGCCCAGCCGGTGAGCTCATTCCGACGGGGGGGCTGACAGAGGAGGCTTCCGAGGGAGGCGCGCTGGGACTGCACCAGTCTCTGCCCAGCGGCCTGGGACCGGTGCCAGTCCAAATCTTTGCCCCGGGACGTGGCCACAGGCAAGCGTCGTGCATAGGCCGATGCAGTCACTCCAGTCCCATCCCTTTCCAACCGCTCCGCCGCCGGGTCCCCAGCCAGTGTGGGGCATAGGCAATGCGGGGACGGGCTGCTTCATGCCCCGCCATCTCGTCCACCCGCTCCACCGCCGGGTTCCCAGCCAGCGCAGGGCATAGGCGATGCGGGGACGGGCTGCCTCATGCCCCACCATCCCTTCCACCGTGTCCCCGGCCAGCACAGGGCATAGGCGATGTGGGGACAGGCTGCTTCATGCCCCGCCATCCCTTCCACCCACTCTGCCGCTGGGTCCCCAGCCAGCGCGGGGCATAGGCAATGCAGGGACCGGCTGCTTCATGCCCCACCCTTTATCACCGGCCCGCCTCGGAGGTGGCCAGTATTGGGGGCCTCCTGGCCTCTTCCACAATGCCCATGGATCGGGGGTGCCGGGGGGGGCACAGCCCAGCACACGACAGGGACGGGCTCCAAAAAAGAAGAGGGCCCCATTCCTTGACATTCCAGTCCTCCTCAAGCTCCAGATTCCCATCTACCCCTAAGAGACTCAGGGATCACAGGATACTCGCCCGAAATGAGGCATTTGGAGCCTCTGAGGGAGAAAGGTAACAGGAACAGCCAATGTGCCCAAGGGATTGGGCCAGCCACAGTCAGGTGGTAAACCTGGGAGGGAACGTCTCAACAACATTAGTTTGATGTAAGCGGAGACAGCCTTCACCATTACCTCTCTGGGCAGCAATGAGAAGAAGGGAGAATGGTCAAAGGATGAGACAGAAGTGAAACCACATCTTCCCACAGCTCAAAATTGCACATTTGCAACGGCTTTTAACGAAGTCATTTCCACTCTAAACTACCCAATGGAAGGGATGGAGAAGCCAAGGTCATCAGCATTCGCAAACCTAAATCCTAGAGACCTTCCAAAAAAACTAAAACACCTTATTAAGCTTCAAACCTTTTCACCTTTACCCTTGGGGTGGGAGCTCCCTCTTGTCAATAGCAAAGCGGCACTATACACTGCCGGAGGGTACCATGGAGGTCCTGAAGGTGCCACAGTTTAGGCTCCGGTAATGGCACTGCACTCAGGGGCGATGCTCCCCAAGGATGGGAAGAGTTCGCAACAGACGCATCACAGGACAATGTCCAGTGCGCCAGACCGTTAGCAGCCAACATCATCACCCACTGCTACATCTGGCTTAAACATTGGACAGTGGACACCTTGTCCAAAAGCATCTTAGCAGCGGAGAGATTTTCCGGGAGGCTTCTCTTCGAAAAACCAAATCTAGATAAGGCCCTAGTAGAGACTAGGGAGAAGAAGAAAAAATCCATGCCGTCATCCACCGATGGTCGCTAGTGAGAATCTAAACCTAGAACTTCCCATTCCTTTCGGGGTCACTGCAACCCGGGACGGGATGGCAGAGACCACAGACCATTCAAATCTTTTAAGTACGGCGCGCAGCCGATACGGGCGCCCTGCCAAAACTGCAGTCGGCCTGACTACCAGATCGGGGGCCAGCTCCAGGCCTTCGCATGGACTTGAAGCCTGACCACCGTGGACCAGGGGGTGCGGACAATCATTGCCCAGGGCTACTGAATAGAACTCAAGGGCTCACCCCTTCACAGCTTCACCCCGTCACCAGCACTAAGACACTAGGAACGGCTACAATGGCTGCAGGAAGCAATTCTACATCTTCAAAACATAGGCGCCATAGATGTAGCACTGCACGGGGAACACTCCAAGGGAGTATTCTCCGTCCTGGTCATTGTCCCAACAAAGTCAGGGGACTGGAAAGCGGTACTGAACTTGCAAGGACTATACAGATGGGGGGGCAAGAAGGAAGTTCCAGAGGGACTCCATCTGCCACATAGTGCAGGTGCTGCAGCAGGGAGACTTCCTGACCTCTATGGACCTCTAGGAGGCGTATTTGCCTTTCCCCATACACCCTTCCTCTCAACATTTACTGTGCTTCTGCTTCAGGGATCAGCATGTCCAGGACAAGGCCTTATCTCTCCTTGGCCCCCAGAGTTTTTAACATGGTTATGGCTACTCTAGTAGGCCCCTGGCGACTGGAAGGGATCCACATGCCCCCATGTCTGGATGACGTCCTTATATGATCGGGGGATTACCGAAGGCAGCCCACAACTCCCAGAGGCCACGGGAGTTCCAGTGTGCACATGGCTTCCTCATCAAAGAGGAGAAGAGCCACCTTACACCCATGCAAGACCAGGTGCACCTGGGTGCAAGGCTGTACACAAGGTAAGCCACGGTTTCGCTCCCAGAGGAGAAACAGCAGAAGATCCGGATCCTAGTGACGGGGGCCAGACCCAAGGAATGAGGAGTCTTCATGCAGTTTGCTGTGTGGTGGGGCCTGATGATATCGACAATCAACTTGGTCCTGTGGGCATGGCTCCACACCAGGCCTTGCAGTGGACTCTGCTTCCATTCCAGCAGGACATCACAAAAAACAAACAAAAAACAAACCAAACAAAAACTGACACCTCACAAAAAAGGTCTCCGAAGGGCTGCGAAGGGAACTGTATTGGTGGGCACAACCATCAAAATTGAGCAACACCGGCCGCTTCCACTGGCCCCAGCAACTGGTGATTGCCACAGATGCGAGCAAGAGAGGCAGGGGTGCACATTGCGATCACCTTGTCACACAGGGCTGGTGGCCCCCAGGACATGCGCCCCACAGCATCAACTGGCCAGAACCTTTGGCAGTCATACTAGCACTGAGAGCATTCCAGCACCACGCACAGAACCAGTGCATCCCAGTATGGACAGACAGCATGTCCTCAAAAGCGCACATCAACCAGCAGGGAGGCACCGGGTCGAGATCCCTATTTGCAGAGACCAGAGCCCTACTAAGATGGGCAGAGAAACTCACCGTAAGCATCAAGGCGGAACACTTAAAAGAACTAGCCAACCTCCAGGCGGACTGGCTGAGCAAAGAGGATCTGGATCCAGGTGAGTGGGCATTGAACAAGGCGGTCTTCTCCCAGATCACGCAAAGGTTTGGAGTCCCGGTGGTGGACATCCTTGCCACCTCAAGGAACCATCAAGTGGAACACATCCTATCCAGGTACCAAGACCCTGCCAGGGAGAGAGTCGATGCGTTATTCCATCCCTGGCTGAGCGGCCTCCTATGCGCCTTTCCCCCCTACAGCCTTTATAGGGGTGACACTCAACAGAATCAGACGGGAGGGGGCCACAGTGGTATTCGTGGCACCTCACTGGCCAAGGCAGCCATGATTCTTGGACCTGGTCCAACTGGCTTCCGGAAGGCCGTGGACACCGCCTCAGAGGCTGGATGTACTGCAACAAGGGCCCATTCACCACCCGGACCCAATGTTGCTGCAACTGACTGCATGAAAATTGCACGCACACAACTAGAGGGAAAAGGATTTCCCCGTGAGGTAGTCGAGGTCATACTACAGGCATGAAGGCCTTCCACCCACCGCATCTACAATTATACATGGAGGACAATTGTAAGATGAGCCACAGCGTATGGGATGCACCCTCTATAGGCCACAGACAAGGAAGTCAGCCTGGGCTATCCGAGGGCTGGTGACAAGGTCTTAGGCCAAAAACATTAAAACTGCAAGTGGCAGCCATACAAGCAGGTCCGGGATACCAGGCACGAAGGACGATGTCCACGAGCTGGGAGGTTACGAAATTTTTGAAGGGTGTTATCCAGCCGGGTCCTCCAGTCCAACACAGGTTCCCGACGTGGAATCCCCACAGAGTACTACGCGCCTTGTCAAAGCCACCGTTTGAACCCAGGTGGACGACCGAGCTCCGCCTTATGTCATAGAAGGTCGTTTCTCATTGTGGTGACCGCAGCCAGAAGGATCTCCAAAATGGCTGCACTATGGACGAGGAAGGAGCTTTGCATCCTCCAGAACGACTCCGTCTCACTGCGGATGGGTCCGCCCTTCATACTAAGGTAAATTCGGCCT